AGACGAACTTGACTTGGAACTCAATTCAATTTTTTTCAATATAATTTTTTTCATAGCCCACATTTTGCAAAAGAAAACTCTACAGAAAAGTTCGCCATCTCTTTTCTCGAGAAAATGTTTCTTCCTCAAGAAACTCCTTTTTTTATGCATAATTTTTCCGAATTTTCACACCCGTTTGACTGTTATAGAATGAAAAATGAGAGACGATAGAACTTTGGTACATATATGGATAAAACGCATGATTACCGATTGATGGACTGATAGATAACCCCACCCTACCAAGTTCTAAAACCCTCTACCCCTAAAATCCAACAAAAGTTCCCACTATCTATTTCAAAAATACACACGAGCGTCTCGTTACACTAACTACCGAACAATTAATAACAGCCCCAGTAAAAAAAAAAGAAAAAAGCAAAAAAACTCACAGTCAATTGATAAAGCACTCAACCCAAGTCCTCAATATTCTCTTACAAAGTTGACTGCTGGTATCCCACAGCTCCCAACACTGCTTGGAGCTTATTTAACAATTCGTTTAACGACACTCGATGACGATGTCTTCTTACTGCTGTAAATAAAACGCATGATGGAAATTATATTTTTGATTTTAATGATTGATAATAAATTGTTCCGCGTGTTAGAAGCCCATTGATCCACTACCTACTTACAACCAAACCCCCAGGCCAAAATACTCCGATTAATCATTTTTTTGTTGTTAAAATGAAAAAAAAAAGAAAAAAGCAAAAAAACTCACAGTCGATTGATGAAACACTCAACCCAAGTCCTCAATATTCTTTTACAGAGTTGACTACTGGTGTCCCACGGCTCACAGCACTGCTTGTATTCAACAGTTCGTTGTAATCTCCCGTCCGTTGGTTTTGTCGACACTCGGTGACGATGACTTCTTACTGCTCGAATTAGAAATATAATAATGATAAAAATAAAAAACTCACCAATACTCATCTATAATCATACAAGGAACAATAACTCACCGTAATTTAATTTATTTTAACTTTGACCACCACAAATTTTTCTAACTGTCACAACAAATTTGGTTAAAGCATATGATAATTGAAGTTGCAGCTTTATGGGCCTTCCACTGTTTCTTGTTTTTAACTGAAATTCATTCATTTCGAATTCCATTAAATTCTCATTACAACGTTTTTGTAGAGAGATAACTGCAGAACAATTATTATTGTTATTAGGACAAATAATGGAGTTAAATAAACCGCCATGGTTTTTGATCCTTTATAGAAGTCTTTATAAGATTCGCAGGCCATATAAAGGGTCCACCATATAAGAGATTTCTTATAACGGAAGCCTCTTCCTTCCAAACGCCTACTGACCCTTGTGACCCATCATGATAAGGGATAGCGGATAAAGAATCCACCCCCGTTTGCGGGGGGTTGGGAGGTAATTGAAAAAACCAATTTGGTATAGCTTCGCGATGCGACGGTAAACTATGGCACTATGTTTTGAAGACTTTGGTATGCTTTGTTTAAACAAAATCAATTTCGTTAAAAAACCACCTCATGTCTGCGGGGGGTTGCAATTTTTTTCAGAAAATGAATCTGCCCTCTGATGCAGAATTGGATGGTAAGCAATGGTAAAATAAATCTAAATCTGAAACATGAAACCAATTATTCATAAATAAACATTTCTTAAGAGTAATGCATGCGTCAGCATACCCCCACTCCTTTCCCGTCGCCATCTTGTGTTGCAGGAAAAAGAGAGTCGATTGTTGTGCACGAGGTTTCTATTTCGGAGCAAATAAATTTCTCAATCCAGTTATTTTGATAATTAAAACAAGTGGTGTTACCAATGTGGATTATGTGAGTTGCTACACTGTTTCTATTATGATGGGACATACGTAGTGGTCCTATTATAATATTTTGCACTTTGGAGTAAAGTTCGTTATATGACTGTATATCAATGTTCCTTTTGGATTCACAGAACAAATTATTCTGGGATAATGAATTGATTTGATTAATTAGTTGCCATTGATGAGCATAATTCAACACACTGACATGACGTTTCCTTGTCAAATTCACCCATTGCATTGAAGTCCTTTTTTTAGAGGATTGTAATCCTCACATTCTAATAACATATTAACTGAGTTTTGGATTACACACGGACATATTTGGATTACATATGTCGAATGAAGCCCAATGAATTAAACATTCACAAGTTTTGGTTTTAAAATAGACAATTCAGATCAAACAATTGGGATATTATTTGACAATTTAGGAGAATTTGGTATGTAAATCGTATGATCAGAATGTGGATATTACAATAAACGCGGATAATACAATTTCGGTTGTCTAGGTCCTAATATAAGAAATAAAATATGTATAAAAAAAATGAAGGAAATTCATGATGGGTATTATTCCACTGTCATGAGTCAGTTTGAGAAGAAGGTACTATGTCGAAGTTACAGTATGCCCATTTATTTATGTCTTTTTCAGCAACAATCGTGGCAAAATACTTGAAAAGGGTCAGAAGGAACTACAAGCATCCAACAACGCTCCACTATTTCTATAGATCCAAAAGAAGGAGATCCAGATGATTAAATATTTATTCATGCATTTCGAATGTATAAGACGGTAAATTATGAAAGATGAATCCAAATAAAAAGTGAAGTGGTAAATCAAAAAGTGAATTCAGCGCAATGGAACGTCTCTTGTGTTCCAAGAGGAATGTTTGCTTCAAGATGGATAAAATTGAATAATTTTGTATTTTTCCACGATACCTAAATGTTATCAATAAATTTCTTTCAAGTGGAATGCACTCATTCGATTTTACCAATGATCTATCGTAATAGCTAGTGAATAGTTGAATTCCTGACGTGTATTTTTAAATCCAAAAGCGCTAGGCGAGCATTCGAGAAAGCCTTCTTTATATCTTTTATATAATCCGTTGAAAAAGAGTCTTAGAGAAAATTTGCTGGCTCTTTTAGATTTTGAGTAATTGACTGGAAAATCAATTATGGAATAGGTCACCTCATTTCTCTTTGCCACGTAACTACCTGAATAAATTCGTGACATTATTATGAGGTGTAGACCTAGAGATTAAGCTTTAAGATCAGAGTGTAATCATATTCTTTATGTATAGAGTCATTTATTTCCTCTCTGAGGTTTATGTAAACTACTTATGTAATAATGTTCGTACTGGGGTTTGGGGAGGAACCATATGTAAAAGGCCGAACGGTTATACATGCCTGAATAAAAAATTTAAAAATTTATTAGGTGGAGAGATAAAATAGAGATGGATGGGAAAACTCTTTATTCAAACAACAGGATGGCATTGTTCATTATGTGGTGTACCCTAATCAGTTCATTTCGAATGACAACTAAAACTGTTGCGGACGATCGTCTAAGACTCTTACCCATAGTGATAATAGGAGAATCGGAATCGTCAGCTGTTCCTACGTTCAACAACGCACACTTCATCCGTGATGATATGAGTAAGTAACAAAAACGACACGTACAGAAGAAATTCTATTGAAAAACCCAGCGCTCTATTGAAGAATTTTCATTCGCATTTACCAAAATTCTATTAAATAATGCAATTAATTTCTTGTGTCAAAACTATTAAAGATGATATAACTTTGGTGCATGAATTTTGATGAGATATTTCACAGGGAAAAGTATATAGATTTTGAGTTTTCTACAGGGTGTCCCGCAACCGACCTTTTTCCTTGAAGGGTATTCGAGAGGGTGCTTTTTGTAGTGGAAAGGTCCTCTTCCATTTTTGGATCCTAGAATTTTTTTTTGGTCTGACTTTTTTTTGGGGGGGATTGAACTACTAATTTCAGGGGTGAATTTTTTTTTTAATTGTTAAATTTTTTTTGTCTTTTTTTATGGGACATGACCTTGCAACTAATTGACCAGAGAGAACGCAATTTACTTGCGAAATAAATCAGTATGATCCACAATTACTTCTGATTGTTCTTAATTTTTACAATTATGTTAATGGAAATTCTGTTCAGGTCTCGATCAGAAACTGATCAAGTCCGATCCGAAATTCTGATCAGGCATGTTACGCCTCTGCCTTATATTTTTCCACTAGGGTTTCTCCGCCTTCCATCATTAGGCATTAATTAAATTTTGATTTTTTGAGAGAAAAAATTAGTAATTTCCCAGCCGGGAATCGAACCCGGGAGTTCCCAATGTCGCGTCGGGTGCTCTTACCATCTGAGCTACCAGGACACTTACGAATTTCACTCTGAAATTTACTCATACCCGAGTGGAAATTCTCGTCAGGTCTCGATCAGAAAATGATCAAGTCCGATCCGAAATTCTAATCAGGCATGTTACGCCTCTGCCTTATGTTTTTCCACTAGGGTATGTTAATATTCAATTCTATTCAATTTATTTCCTTGATGTTACAAAAGTTTTTCTTTGTTTTACATCTCCACAAGCCTCCTCCTCCTCTATTTTACTAAACATTTTATTAACATAGTGCTGTGCACATAACCAACATATACTATAATATAATATATTTTTCTTTATATTTAACCTTTCCCTTCTTATTTGTACCCCATTCCCCCCTTCCCCCACTGCTCCTCCATCCTTTTCTGATTCTTCTCCACCCTTCTGCTTCCCTCCCTCTCTTTGGTTGCGTTTCGCTTTGTCTACTCCTCCCTCAGCGCCTTCTCTATCCTTCCAAACCGATCACAGTTTCTCTTCGTAGCGTGATCTCTGAGCTCCTCTTTTATCCTTTCTCTCCAATGTCTTCGATTACTTTTCTGTCTCCATCTCTTCCACCATCTTTCATCATCTGGTCCTACTCTCCTCATTATCTCCTTGCAGCTGACCACGTGCTCCAGTGACTCCTTCTCTTTCTCACATGCCCGGCATCTGTCATACTCAAGGCCTTTCTTCCCTCCTCTTATTGCATTTCCACATTTCCATCTTGCCCAAGCCATTTTCTATGCCATGTTTAATTTTCTATCCGTCCAGTACTCACTCATCTCCGTGTTCTCCTTTATCTCTCCGTAGTGGTCACAGTATTTCGGTTTTTCTATTCTCTCCCCTATGGACCTCTTTCCCCCAACTGGACGGTTGTCCATTCTTAATCCCCCTCAATTCCTCTTTCAAGCATTTTCTTGGCCATCTACTTTCTTCCATTCTGCTCAATTTTATTAGAAAAGCCGCTGCCCTTCTGACTGCTTCTACTTCTACACTGCTTACTCCTGCCTCCATTCTCCATATGTAGTCTGGTGTGTTTCTCGCCAGTCCCATGCTAGCCTTTGTATATTTCTTCTTTATCCTTTCTATGTTTTCCTGCCTTCTCCATCCCCACAGTTCTACTCCATATAGCGCCGCTGCCTTCACCGTTACTCCCATGAAATACAGCCTCTTCCTCAGTCCTCTTATCTTGCCTCTCCTCATTTCTCCCCAGGTTTTGTTCACCAGCGTCTGAGCTTTCCCTGTCAGTTNCACTGCTTCTACTTCTATACTGCTTACTCCTGCCTCCATTCTCCATATGTAGTCTGGTGTGTTTCTCGCCAGTCCCATGCTAGCCTTTGTATATTTCTTCTTTATCCTTTCTATGTTTTCCTGCCTTCTCCATCCCCACAGTTCTACTCCATATAGCGCCGCTGCCTTCACCGTTACTCCCATGAAATACAGCCTCTTCCTCAGTCCTCTTATCTTGCCTCTCCTCATTTCTCCCCAGGTTTTGTTCACCAGCGTCTGAGCTTTCCCTGTCAGTTTCTTGGCATGTCTCGAGTATGTGTTTTTNGTACTCCCATGAAATAGAGCCTCTTCCTCAGTCCTCTTATCTTGCCTCTCCTCATTTCTCCCCAGGTTTTGTTCACCAGCGTCTGAGCTTTCCCTGTCAGTTTCTTGGCATGTCTCGAGTATGTGTTTTTGGTCGTGAACCAGAAGCCTAAATACTTGAATTCATTCACCACCTCCAGTTTCTTGCCTTTGTACTCCCAACTTTCTTTCCTCCTTCTTCCTCCGTTCCTGAACACCATTATCTTTGTTTTTTCCACACTCACCTCCATTTCATTTCCATCTGCCCACTTCTCCAATGTCTTTAACATCCTTTTCAACTCAGATCCCTCCTCTGCCACAATCGCTGCATCATCTGCATACATCAGGGTGAATATCTTCACCCCTGCCCCTGGTCCGATAGGCGTGCCTCCGTCTCCTCTCTTTTCCATCGCCTCTATCAGATCTTGTATGAAGATGTTAAATAGTATTGGGCTCAGTGGGCAACCCTGCCTCACTCCTTTCCCCGTCTGGAACTCCTCTGTCAATCCTGTCCCCACTATCACCCTGTTTCTGGTGCCCTCATAAATTCTCTGTGACATCCTCAAGAACTTTCCTACTATCCCTATCTCCTCCATCTTGTTCCAGAGTTTCCTTCTGTCTACCTTGTCGAATTCCGCTTTGAAGTCAATAAATGCTACATATAATTTCCCTCCTTTCTTCTTGAGTCTGTTCCCGATCAGCGTATTCAGTACAAACTCCTGCTCCATTGTTCCTCTTCTTCTCCTGAATCCTGCCTGTGCCTCTGATAGTTTTTCCTCTTCCTCTAGCCACTTACCCAGTCTGCGTGCCATTATCGACGAGAGGATTTTATATCCTATGTCCAGCAATGACACTCCTCTATAATTCGCTGCCGTGTTGATATCCCCTCTCTTGTGTATTGGGAAAATTGTGGCCAATCTCCATCTGTCAATCATTTCCTCTCTCCTCCAGAGCTCCTTTATTATCTCTATGAGTTCTTCCCTTCCCTCTTCAGGTAAATTCTTCCAGAATTCTGCTGTGATCCCATCTTCTCCAGCTGCCTTCCCAGTCTTGAGTCCATTAATAACTCCCAATATTTCCCAGTCTATCAAGTCCTCATTCAGCTTCAGATCCCTCTCCTCTTCTTCCCTGGCGTCATTCCGTCCATCTTTCTGGGTCTCTCTTTCTTCTCTATCCTGTCCAACTGTCTCTTCCTCAGCCCTCTCCCCCTGCTTTTTCTCTGCTTCCAGCAAGCTCTTAAAGTGGTTCACCCATTCTTCTTCTGAGACCATGTTCACTTCCTTTTTTCTTCCCTGCCTGAACCAGTTCATTGCCTTCCACCATTCCCCCATTGTTTTGCTCGCTGCTACCGCTCTCTGTTTCTCTTCTATCCACTCGGCAATCAGTCTGCCTCGTATTTTCCTCAGAGACCTCTTGTGTTCGTTGTACCTTCGTTTGGAGTTCCAGTCTCTCCTTCTTCTGAACCTGTTCAAGCTTCTAAACATTTTCCTCCTCTCCTCTTGGTATTCTCCTGTGTCCCATGCCGCTCCTTCTTTTTTCTTGTTGCCTGTCACCATCTTTGCTTCGTGTGCTGCTTCTGTGGTAATTTTGACCAGTCTCGCCCATCTCTCCTCCGTATTCTCAACCTCTTCAATTCTGTCCGTCCATCTTTTCTCCCATTTTTCCTGGAAGGTTTCCTCTCTTGTCTCTCTCCATTTCAACCTCGGTTCTCTATTTTCTCTCCCCTCCTCCCCTCTCTTCGTTCTCTCACTCCAATCTACCTTCAGTATGATTGGTAGGTGGTCCGAACCTTCTTGTTCTGCTATCTCCATGCTCCTGAACCACCCGGGAGCTTCCTCTTCCTCCAGTCTTACTATTATATAGTCCAACACACTGCCCAAACCTGCCCCTTCTCCTATGAATGTTAGCTGTCCCTCCTCATCTCCTTCGGCCCTTCCATTCTGGATTAATAGTGCCCTCTCTTCGCACCAGTCCACGAGCTTTCTGCCTTCGTCCCTCGTTGTTTTATCCTGTGACCTCCTTTCTTTTATTCCTGTCCTCTCTTCCGTTCCACATTCTGATATCCCTTGTAACTCTCCTATCCTCGCATTTAAATCTCCTGTGACTATCAATCTCTCTTCTGATCCTTCCAGGTCCTCCAACATACCATCCATCTCCTTGAGTACTTGTTTTAGATTCTTTCTATCATTATTGTATGAATTTATTACTACGTACCCATCCCTGCTTCCTTTTGCTTTAATCGACATTCTCAGCCCATATTTCCACTCCTCCACTTTCCAGTCCGCTTCCAGTGTCCTCCTGATTCCCATNGTTTAACTTCACGGAACTTTTGTCGAATGCCGTGGACGGCTACAATCACAAGGTNGGTCCATCTATTCTCCCATTTTTCCTGGAAGGTTTCCTCTCTTGTCTCTCTCCATTTCAACCTCGGTTCTCTATTTTCTCTCCCCTCCTCCCCTCTCTTCGTTCTCTCACTCCAATCTACCTTCAGTATGATTGGTAGGTGGTCCGAACCTTCTTGTTCTGCTATCTCCATGCTCCTGAACCACCCGGGGGCTTCCTCTTCCTCCAGTCTTACTATTATATAGTCCAACACGCTGCCCAAACCTGCCCCTTCTCCTATGAATGTTAGCTGTCCCTCCTCATCTCCTTCGGCCCTTCCATTCTGGATTAATAGTGCCCTCTCTTCGCACCAGTCCACGAGCTTTCTGCCTTCGTCCCTCGTTGTTTTATCCTGTGACCTCCTTTCTTTTATTCCTGTCCTCTCTTCCGTTCCACATTCTGATATCCCTTGTAACTCTCCTATCCTCGCATTTAAATCTCCTGTGACTATCAATCTCTCTTCTGATCCTTCCAGGTCCTCCAACATACCATCCATCTCCTTGAGTACTTTTTTCAGATTCTTTCTATCATTATTGTATGTATTTATTACTACGTACCCATCCCTGCTTCCTTTTGCTTTAATCGACATTCTCAGCCCATACTTCCACTCCTCCACTTTCCAGTCTGCTTCCAGTGTCCTCCTGATTCCCATTAGGAAGCCTCCACTCGCCTTCCCTCGTCTGTGTATCCTTATCGCCTCTTTGCCAAACCACTCGAATTGTTTATTCAGTCTGTCCATCATTTTTGCCATTCCTTTTGTCTCTAAGTGTGTTTCCTGAAACATCACCACATCCATTTCTTTCCACTGTTCCTCGTTCTTCCCTATATTTATAGAATTTTCTACATTCCAGTGCCACATCTTTAATATTCTCTCCTCTCCTTCCTCTCCACTGCTTGCCTGCTGTCTAAAAGGGCCCTCTCCTCTCGGTCCTTTACCTTGTAACCTTTTGCCTCATTTCTCCTTCCACCTCATCCCACTCCAACCCGTTACCATCCACACAGATGCAGTTATATTTTGTCCCTGCCTGCTTCTTGGNGCATGCTTTTTTGGCGCAACTGGATGAGCACGCTCCGCTACGTGAGTTGGTGGTGAACTCCTCTGTATCTGCCCCGTGACTGACAGATGAATTGCGGCTGTCTGATCGACATGTACAATACCTGAACAGACGGTTTAGGAGAAGGCGTACTCAAGAACGGCTCCTGGAATTCCGCTTGGCTAGAAGTCTCCATCAATCAAAGCTCTTAGATGCCCGAGTCAAGTATTACTACTCTCGTCTGTCAGGACTGACTGGTGCTGCTCTGTGGAGAGATCTACGTAATCTTGCGCTGACCACTGGTTCCAATTCGAGCTCTGTTGTGCCTTCCGAGGTCCTCAATGCTCATTTTGCTGCTGTCTCCACCGTTGCTCTGCCTGCCAATCTCACCAAGTGCTTGATGACCGTTCTCACTCGCTGCCTACATCTGAGCTGTTTTATTTCTCGCAGGTGAGCTGGTCTGAAATNTAATAGTGCCCTCTCTTCGCACCAGTCCACGAGCTTTCTGCCTTCCTCCCTCGTTGTTTTATCCTGTGACCTCCTTTCTTCTATTCCTGTCCTCTCTTCCGTTCCACATTCTGATATCCCTTGTAACTCTCCTATCCTCGCATTTAAATCTCCTGTGACTATCAATCTCTCTTCTGATCCTTCCAGGTCCTCCAACATACCATCCATCTCCTTGAGTACTTTTTTCAGATTCTTTCTATCATTATTGTATGTATTTATTACTACGTACCCATCCCTGCTTCCTTTTGCTTTAATCGACATTCTCAGCCCATACTTCCACTCCTCCACTTTCCAGTCTGCTTCCAGTGTCCTCCTGATTCCCATTAGGAAGCCTCCANTGCCCGAGTCAAGTATTACTACTCTCGTCTGTCAGGACTGACTGGTGCTGCTCTGTGGAGAGATCTACGTAATCTTGCGCTGACCACTGGTTCCAATTCGAGCTCTGTTGTGCCTTCCGAGGTCCTCAATGCTCATTTTGCTGCTGTCTCCACCGTTGCTCTGCCTGCCAATCTCACCAAGTGCTTGATGACCGTTCTCACTCGCTGCCTACATCTGAGCTGTTTTATTTCTCGCAGGTGAGCTGGTCTGAAATTGAGGCTGTCGGAACTGATGGGATCTCGAAGAAGATGGTTCTCAACACTCTTCCTGCCTTGGCGAACACTCTTCTGACCCTCGTGAACAAGTCTTTTGTTGACGGTATCTTCCCTGACATCTGGAAGCAGGCTCTCATTGTCCCTGTATGTAAGGTGAGCTCGCCTAAGTCGCCGTCTGACTACCGGCCTATTGCGCTCCTCCCTTTCCTTGCGAAAGTTCTGGAGCGTTTGGCCTCTAAACAGCTTACCTGGTATCTGCATAGGCGCAACTTGCTCGACCCCTGGCAGTGTGGCTTCAGATCTGGACACAGCACGCAGACGGCCCTTCTCCGACTCATCAATGACGTGCGGCGTAATGTTGATGATCGCAGAATCACTGTCCTGGTGCTGTTCGACTTCTCTAAGGCCTTCGATACTGTTTCCCATCCTCTTCTCTTGAGTAAGCTGGCTGCCCTAGGCCTGTCGATGAGCGCGGTGAAGTGGGTACGATCGTATCTCACTGGGCGCTCCCAGGCGGTCAAAGGCACTGATGGACTGTCTCCGTTTCTGAGGACCAACGCAGGGGTACCTCAAGGATCCATCCTTGGCCCTCTGCTTTTCTCCCTCTTCATTAACGACATTGGTGCCTGCCTTCGGGAGTCGCGGCATCTCCTTTACGCTGATGATCTCCAAATATACCTTGAGTGTGAGCCTCCTGATCTGCATAGCTGTATCGAACGTCTCAACGTGGACATCTCTCGAATCCAGGCCTGGGCTACTACCAACTGTCTCCAGCTGAACGTGGGTAAGATGAAGGCTATCATCTTAGGCGCTAGGCGTTTTGTCAATGCCATTGATGTCTCTTCGTTGCCACATCTTGGTTCGGCTGGTGCTGCCATTGAGATCGTCAGCTGTGTGAGGAACTTGGGTGTCTTCGTCGATAGCAAGTTGACTTTTAATGCTCACGTCCAACACGTAGCTTCTAAGATCAACTTTGCATTTTACCAACTATACAGTCTTCGAAAATACACCGATGTTCCGCTACGTAAACTGCTGGTGAATGCTCTGATTTTCCCTCACATCCTTTACTGCCTTGCAGTCCTTCAAGGTGTGGGTACGGTTCTTGATCTGAAACTGCAGCGCTTCATCAACCGTGCGACGAGGTTCGTCTTTGGGTTGCCGCGTGATGCTCCGATTTCGGCTGCCCGGCGTAGTTTGGGCTGGCTTACTGTGTCTGGGTATAGGACTGCCGCCATTGCCAGCACTATGTACCAGGTGCAGAATACTGGTTCTCCGTCCTATCTCGCTGAGCTGTTCTCCACCTACATCTCGGACAGACCTCTTCGTCAAGTGCTAGCGCGCCAGGTACTGGTCGTTCCGAATTATCGTACGGACACCTATAGAACTGCTTTGGCTGTTGCTGGTCCGATGATTTGGAATGATATTCCTGCGTGTATAAGGGATCTGAACACGGCTGCCTCCTTCAAATCTCACATGCGACGCTGGCTGCTGGAGGGAGAAATGACTTCCTAATCTAAATCACTCTATCTCTTGGCTAACTCGTGTTGTCTATAACTTATTCTCTGACTCTATAACTACTTTGTTTAAATTTCTAAACAATAAACTTTCTATCTATCTATCTATCTATCTATCTTTCTGTCTGTCTGTGAGATCGTCCGAGATGTACACCCCCCATCCAAACTCATTACCTCTATTTTGCTGGCTCTCTCTTCCATTCTGACCGTCAGCCCTCCCTCCTCTCTTCTGTCCAACTTCTCCACCCTCGCTCTCACTCCAAGTGTTTCCCATAGCCAGTGCTCTAACTCCTCTTTCCTTGTCCTCGTGATTAANTCTTCCCCTCTTCCGACATGTTATCCGCCGCCATGTCCTAACTTCCTCTTTTTCTTGTCGTTACTTTTTATCTTATTTCACCTTGCTCTCGCAGGTATTCTCCTGTTCTTCACCTCCTCCTCGTTCTTCTCCTCTTTAGCTTTCTTTTTTATGTACTTATAGCCTCTTCCTACCTCTTTTCTTACTTTTTTACCTGTANGCGCCAAGTTCTGGTCGTTCCGAATTATCGTACGGACACCTATAGAGCTGCTTGGGCTGTTGCTGGTCCGATGATTTGGAATGATATTCCTGCGTGTATAAGGGATCTGAACACGGCTGCCTCCTTCAAATCTCACATGCGACGCTGGCTGCTGGAGGGAGAATTGACTTCCTAATCTAAATCACTCTATCTCTTGGCTAACTCGTGTTGTCTATAACTTATTCTCTGACTCTATAACTACTTTGTTTAAATTTCTAAACAATAAACTTTCTATCTATCTATCTATCTATCTATCTTTCTGTCTGTCTGTGAGATCGTCCGAGATGTACACCCCCCATCCCAACTCATTACCTCTATTTTGCTGGCTCTCTCTTCCATTCTGACCGTCAGCCCTCCCTCCTCTCTTCTGTCCAACTTCTCCACCCTCGCTCTCACTCCAAGTGTTTCCCATAGCCAGTGCTCTAACTCCTCTTTCCTTGTCCTCGTGATTAATGTTAATCCCTCAATAATCATGTTTTTCCTTCTTAATCTTCTCATCTCTAGCTCCTCTTCCCATTATTCTTGTGTCCCTCCTGTCGCTTTCGCTCCATGTGCTAGGGTCATCCCTTCTGCCTGAGAGGCTTCCAGACGGGCTCACTGTTCTCACCGTATTTGCTGGAATTATCGGGACATCCCTTCCGTCTTCTGTCACATCTTTTGTCTTCTTCAATTCTTCTCTTGCTTCTTCTGCTCTGATCTTCCATGTCTCTGTCACCCATTTCCACTGCCTCACTTTTGACTCTAACTCCTCCACCTGATCTTCACTCACTCTCAGTCGTTCCTGCGTGTCTCTGAGCTGATCTGTCAATTGATCCTCTTCCGACTCTCCTCTTCTCCTCTCACAATTTTCACACCNCTCCTACCTCTTTTCTTACTTTTTTACCTGTACTAGCACGGAGCCGTATACCGCGTCCGGGTATGTTAATAATTGATGAGTAATTAATTATTTGGGGCTAAATTTATTGTATTAATTCAATAATTTGAAATTTATTTGTTTTATTTACTTTACTTTATTTTTTTATTTCAATTTAATATTACGTTTTTTACATGAAGTACAGCGGCATGTACTGAGTGGGGAAGGAGGGGGGGGGGATTTGAACGAAAAAGGGGGGAGGGTTGCGGAACGAGTCGGAGCCCACATCACGCCTCCAAAAGGGCGGTGAGGATTTTTTTTCAATTTTTTGTTCTCACTCCGCACGGATTGAGGTAAAGGAAATATTTGTGAGGGTGTGGAAGCCACCCCCACACCTATCGGGGAGGTTGAAATCTGCACACAATGAGGGGAGGGGGTTGAGAAATGAGTCCATGCTCAAATCAAAAGGGGGTGAGAATTTTGTGTTCTCAATCATGTGTCCAAAAGAGGGGTGAGTATTTTTANCTCACTTATCACTGCCTCTTCTCCTGTCACACTGTCCACAGCCAAGCCCTCCTCAACTTCCTCTCCTTCCTCACTTTCCTGTTGCTCTGACTGGTTGTCATGGGTCTCTTGGCCACTTTCAGGATTCTCTGGGTCATCCGGGTCATCCTCCGGCCTTTCCCAGTGAGAATTCTCCTCATCCCCCGTCTTCTCTCCCAAGAAGTCCTCCAGTCGCCTAACCCCAGAAAGTACCCTATCCTTCCTCTTCTCTTTCTTATCTTTCGGGTCCATTTTCTTTCTACCTCTACTTGCTCTTCCAGGTGTTACCTCTTTTGATTTCTGTGCGTCTCCTCCATTACCGGCTGCGTTTTCCCCTTTCTTGTTCTCCAGGCTTCTTAGGTTGTAACTGCCGCTCCTCTTCCCCTCTTCCGACATGTTATCCGCCGCCATGTCCTAACTTCCTCTTTTTCTTGTCGTTACTTTTTATCTTATTTCACCTTGCTCTCGCAGGTATTCTCCTGTTCTTCACCTCCTCCTCGTTCTTCTCCTCTTTAGCTTTCTTTTTTATGTACTTATAGCCTCCTCCTACCTCTTTTCTTACTTTTTTACCTGTACTAGCACGGAGCCGTATACCGCGTCCGGGTATGTTAATAATTGATGAGTAATTAATTATTTGGGGCTAAATTTATTGTATTAATTCAATAATTTGAAATTTATTTGTTTTATTTACTTTACTTTATTTTTTTATTTCAATTTAATATTACGTTTTTTACATGAAGTACAGCGGCATGTACTGAGTGGGGAAGGAGGGGGGGGGGATTTGAACGAAAAAGGGGGGAGGGTTGCGGAACGAGTCGGAGCCCACATCACGCCTCCAAAAGGGCGGTGAGGATTTTTTTTCAATTTTTTGTTCTCACTCCGCACGGATTGAGGTAAAGGAAATATTTGTGAGGGTGTGGAAGCCACCCCCACACCTATCGGGGAGGTTGAAATCTGCACACAATGAGGGGAGGGGGTTGAGAAATGAGTCCATGCTCAAATCAAAAGGGGGTGAGAATTTTGTGTTCTCAATCATGTGTCCAAAAGAGGGGTGAGTATTTTTAACTTTCCGACCCGAAGGGAGGAAGTTATTGTAATGACCCCGAAAATCGAATGTGGAAATTTAAGCATTTCTCCACGTTTCATGACCTTTGGAACCACTTCTGACCCTTTTCAGGTACCTGTCTGTATGTGTGGATGGGTGTATGTGTGTGCGTACGTCTGTGACAAAAATTTTGTGCCACGATTCCTCCTGAACGAACGACGCGATTTAACTTTTTTTTTTATCGCTGTATTTTCATGTGACTTGAACCTGATTAGATTATGGAGACGATCGTCTCAGCGTTTCTCCAGTTTTTTCCAAAAAACATTTGGAAAAAAGTCGAAAATTAGCGTTTTTTTGTAAACGAGACCATTTCTCCGTGCATAACGATGCGATTTCAAGTTTTTTTTGTTAGAAACGATGAATCTTGATATAACGCACAAATCATGGAATACTGGAAGACATTTAATCAGCAGTTCACTAGCTTTTTTCGAAATCGATATACATTCAAGAAACAATTTTACTTTTCTGATAAATTACATCTTTTCTCGATGCGGAATACGGCGATGTGTGTGCATGGGAGTGTGTGTGAGTGCGAGCACGCGCACGGATTTTCTTGTGTCACGAAAAAACTATTTGATTTGATTTTTTTTGCAATCGATTCATTCTCATGGAACCTGACCTTCATTATTACATTATGCAAACATTTGTTTCGGCGTTTTTTACATTTTTGATGAAAAAAACTTGTAAGAGACCGTTGAAAATGGGTTTCTTCTCTTAGAAATGAGAGGTTTTTTCATGTTACACCTGCAATTCGCAGAAAAATTCTATTAGATTTCTATTGACTTCTCTATGATTTTTTTACCATTTCTATTGACATATTCGATGGGAAATGTTATACAGGAAAAGTCGATGAAATTTCATTTGTCTATGAAAAGTTATTCAAAAATTCAATTTTTTTTTCCTTCAGTCAATTTTAATTTCCTTCCCTTTAAGAAAATCAAACACAAGAAAATGACAATCTATGTTTGTTGACTTTTCCTACAGAATATTTCCTATCGTACATGACAATAGAAACGGCAAAAATATTTATAGAAAATTTAATTAGAAACCAATAGAATTTCCTAGCGAATTCGTTAGGATTTTCTATTGGATTTTTTCATACAATGATCATTTGTCGTAATGAGAACTGATAACCATCGTTATTCTGTATCGGTGGTTTGCAATATTTTGTACACGCTTTGTGAATGTATTGAATGCTGTGTTTACGAGTTCCTTTTCACCGAGTTACTTTCTTCGAACCCCTTCCCCCCTTCCCCTTCGCCACATTGCTATGATACCCCCATTTTAATCGGATTATCAGACTCGTCATATTGACATATCTACACGGTAGCCGTAGAGGCATTCATATTCTGATGCCGACGCATGCGCTTATCGTACTGCTGTATTAGACTGATTACCTCTGACGATCTCTGTTCCCATCAATCAGCTGTCAGCGTTGCGAGTTACAACAGTTACCCAGTTTACGTAAAAATTACTTCACCATCAAAGTGTTTTCATTGGACAATATTTTTTTCTTACTGATATTTTCCTTTGAAAACTTATTGTTTTTTCTCCTTTATTTTTTTATTTCTTCAAACATTTTTTTCACTTCATTATTTTTTTTATGATTCAAATATGCGAGAATTGTCTGCCGAAGGCGACCAAAAATCATTTTCAGCACATTGTCTGCCGAAGGCGACTGAGAATAATTATTTGTGCATTGCCTGCGAAAGGCGACTGAGAATAAGTGTTAGTACATTGTCTGCTGAAGGCGACTGAGAATAACTATTTGTGCATTGTCTGCCGAAGGCGACTGATAATATTTATCTTTGCTCTGTCTGCCGAAGGCGATGCAAAATTTTCGTGAATATTGCCCAAAACAGAGAACCAAGAAATTGTATTTATTCATAATTCTTTTCCAAATACGAAACCAAGTTCGGAACGATTCTTAGTGCCATCAAAATATTGCAGAGCAAGCAATTGAACTTCTGGCATAAGATACATCTTTCAACATGAAAACAAAACGAAAATCGGCAAGGCAAAAAAGAGAAACGCAAAAGCGTGCTCGCAAAGAGATTCAGCGTTCAATTTCACCCGAAAAGCAACTAAGAAAGAAAAAAAAATGATTACGAAAAACAAGGAGCGACGAAAATATGCATGAGAAGAATACGATCAACTCCATTATATAACGATAGAGAAAAAAGCAATAACATGATGAGAAAACGCCGATTGCGAGAGAATGATAAATTCAAGAAAAGAGAACTCGAACGAGGTAGAAAAAGGCTGCAAAATGAAAGGAAAAAAAGAGATGACTTCAGGAGGAAAGAGAATGAACGTCAGAGAAAACGGATGAAATGCAGAAGAACAGATCCAAACTACAGAACGAAAGAATGCCATAAAAATGTTACCCGAACTGAAATTTTGAGACGGAAGCAACAATACATCTACCATGAAATGGCTAAGAATAGAGAGAGGTGCCAAATACTTCGAAAAACCACCTACAACAATGATGAACGAATGAAGAATATTATGCGAATGAGAATACTGAGAAGGAGTGTCGCATATGTAACAGAAGAATTGAAGAAAAATAATCATCACAAGAAACAATTACGAAGAATCCATGCGTATAAGCAAAGAGAACGCAACCAAAATGTCGAACGTATGTGCATGAAGAGGAAAAGCAAACAGTATGCAAGTTTGGAAAACTTGAAAAATAAACGTAGAATACGCGATAAACGTCCCAATGCAAAATTCAGATGCCTTGAATCGATGAAGAATGCCAGAGCGAAGAGAGATGAACGGAAATTGGATATCTTCAAGTTTAGGGAAAATCTCTATAATAAATTGATGAAAATGAAAGATCTTAACCCAATAGCTAAACTGAAACTCAAATTCATCGAACATCATGCGGAAACACCTTCGTTCGTGTGCTGTTGTTGCGAAGGTCTCTTCTTCAGAGTTTGTGTTGTAAAATTAAATAAAGCAAAAATCGTAAAAGCGAGTGGGGAACAATTTTTCAACCAAATCAATAACTTTGATTCAGGTTTTATCTGTGAAACGTGTAAGAGATATGCATATAAAGGTAAATCATATAAGTTAGCGACCAGCAATGGCCTCCAATTCAAGCAAATTCCAACCTCATTGAACGAGTTAACAGATCTTGAGGAGAGAATGGTTGCGCCAATCTTGAATTTTATGCAGATTCGAGCCTTAAAACCTTACGCACTCAATCGTCAGTTGGGTTTGAAAGGGAGTGTAGTGAATATTCCTATTGAGATAAACGACATGATCCAAATTTTGCCTCGTAGATTCAGTGAGATGCAAACAATTCAATTGCAATTGAAGCGACATTTGGATCACAAAAGTAATTATATGTTCGAATCGATTAGACCACAGAAAGTCTGGAAAGCACTAAATCACTTAATTACTACACCCCTTTATGTGAAATATGACATTAAGGTGAACGAAAATTATTTGAATAAGTATGGCAATGAGCATGATGAAGTAATAAGTTTCATAGTTGATGATAATGATGCCCCTGGTGGAGAAACCAAGGGGAAGATAATTTCAGGTTCCTCAGAAATAAAAAACTGTGATAATGAGAATTCTATTGAACTCATTGACTTGAAGCAAATAAATAATGATGAAGTATTATTAATAGTTAATAATGCTCAGGCCGTAGAAGGATATGCACCAATTGTGAATATAATTGCCCCTGGGCAAGGCAAAGATCCTGTACAATGGCATAAAGTGGAAGACTTGGATGAGTTGTGTTTCCCAAAAATCTTCGGTGGTCACTCATTCAATTTACCGAAATCTTTGAGCTATTCAGACCGAATAAAATCGGAAGTGAGGCGCCATGATCGAAGATCGTGCATCCCTTCGAGAATTTTATTCATGGCGAAAAAGAAATTAGAAATGACTTGTTTATCTAGTATAAACGTATGTCTAAGACGAACGAAAAAGACTACCGATAATGAATTGAGGGCCAGAGATGTTTTCCATCCCGATCTCAGGGATAAATTGATTGAATTCGATGATGGATTTAGATTGCTCAAGCATATTCGATCCTCTCCGGCGTTTTGGGAGAGTAAGAAGAAAGAATTGTTAGCAATGATTCGGCAATTGGGAAAACCAACTTTTTTTCTGACACTATCAGCAGGAGAGAGCCATTGGTCCGAATTATTACAAATCCTTATGAAGTCTAGCGAAGGAGGCCGAAAATTATCTGTCACGGAAGCATTTAATTTAGATTATGATACTAAAACCACTTTGATAAGGAATGATCCTGTTACATGTGCTAGATATTTCCATCACAAAGTCATGA